CCTGCTGTGCTCACGTCTATCTACCTGCCTGCTCTGTCAGGATCATCCTGACATTCCAAAGGTATGTTATTGTAGATGCAACAAGATAATAGATAGGCTCAGTTAAGATAAAAATTGACCTTTGTCAGGAAAGGTACCAGTGCAGGACAGGACTATCGCCATGACTCGTGTTCAGCTAAGACGTTTTCATTTCAGACCACCCTATTGGTTACTTTAGGTCTCTGAGTTTGTAAGGCTGCCACGCGGGCCTCCCAGTGTGTCAGGTTCAGTGTGTGGTCCTGTGCCATCCACATGGTTATGTTGGTATTTAGATGGCTCATCGCTGACTGGGCAGCTCTTACACCAACACCCGACCCTCGTTGGACACTCACATGCTTCCAAAGGAGGTTTTATCCGATTTACAGGATGTCCCCTCTGCCCAAGGCCACACAACGAGGAAGACGGAGGTCCGGAACCCCAACTCAGCTTTTGTTCTAGAGTCCTCCCTAGGCATCCCATGAAACTGCCTGAACCAGCAGAATGGTTAGGGGGAAAGGTGCATTCAAGGGGCTTCCCAAGACACACAAGTCCATTCCCACTCCTGCAACCTCCATGGCACTGCCCAGTAGAGAATCCCAAATGCCCTTCATCTACATCCTGGCACCTGGATGACAACTGCAGCCCATTGCTACTGATAAGGGAGATTGCAGGCTCCAGATTGAATGAGGGAGCAGCCTTTTAGGATTTGAGCTTCACTAATCATCTCTGCTGATTAGACTGCCTCCCCCGTGTACCTTCAGACATTGAGAACAGGACTTGAATCGACTGCTCATTACTTGTTCCAGGAAACCATGACAACAAGAGTCCACCCAGTGCTGCTCCCAGCCAGCGTGGCTTTCCTCTCACAGTACTGCCTTGGCATTTGTGGCAAACACAGAAGAACTGAGTCCCCCTGTGGGGCAGCTTCGAGGTCCACGTCACCTTGATCCTATGACTCCACATAAACAGACCACCTTGTGGGTGACACCCAGGGCAAGGTGCTCACTTGTAAAATGAGCATTTCTAGCAAGTGTATTTCAGTTTGTGGGTAGCAACCCATTAGAGGGTATATTAGTCTTCTCTTTCTGCCATAACAAATAACACAGTCAGAGGCTTAAAACGGATTACTTTACAATCTGGAAGTCAGAATCCCTTCTGGAGGCTCTAGCAGAGAACGCACTTCCTTGCCTTCCAGAGGTCAGAGGCTGGAGACTGCCCACACTTCTCGGCTTGTGTACACATTGCTGTGATGCCTCCATCGGGGCATCTCCGACTCCGACCTGCTGCCTGTTTCATAAGGACCCTGTGGCTGGACCCTGTGGGTAATCTCCCATGTCAAGACCTCAAGCCACATCTGCAAAGTCCATCTGGGGTGATGTAAAGGGAGGAATATTCTGTTTATGGGAATTAAGATGTGTGCATGCTGGGGTGGTCATTATTCAGCCATTTAAGAACCAACATTTTTTAAATTCCACTTTAAAAAGTAAAACACATGCAGTGTTTCTGGTTCCTTGTGTATCACTAACATGATGTAGTCACCCAGGAAAGTTTGACTCCAAGGCCTCTTCTAGCTGTCTCATTAGCAGAATGACTCACTCCCTTGTGAAGCAGTGCCCGAAGAATGGCCTTGCGATGACTTGAGCCTTACTCTGGGAAGACCAGACTTCTCACACAGTATAAGTACAGCTGTTTCCTCCCCCCATTTATATATCTAAGCAAGGACTGAGAGTGCGAGTGTGCTGGGAGCTAAGGCTGAAGGCTCCGTGTAAAGACTTCGAGTGTCACATGATGACTAAGTGCAAGATATGTAATATTCTTCCTCAAGGAGGGTTACGTTTTGAAAAATCCAATATGACAACTCACAGTTGAGTTGAAAATAGTCTGCAAAACACTTCCATATTTCTAGTCCAACCCCTACACCCACCATGTACAAAGATTTAAAAGCTTTACAAGTTTTTTTAAAGGGAAAGTTCTGATTTAGATCCAGTGTTTCTGGTGAAGGATACAAGCGAATATATTTCCATGTTTGCGATCTGGAATGTGGTCTGTTAGAGCTATGTATGGCATGAAGAAGACCACCATCCAAAGGTCATGAGTGATACACAGCAGAAGCCTCATGTCAGAGTGGTGATGGCCTGGGGTCAGAGTGGAAAAGTAGCTCTCCTGGCTCAGCGAAGCAGCTGGTGTTCAGCTGGAGAGTCTTAAAGAGACTAGGACTGTTGTAATTGCACCTCAGGAAACTGGAACCTTATAGTATTCCTTACCCTCCTCCAAAGGGCTCTTCTGCTCTTTAATTGGATTTGGAGTACATGGGAGAATTTGGCTAAATCTCTAAGTTCTCAGAGAAAGTTGTCTGTCTACTTATTTGAAAGGGTAATCTGAGTTAGAAAATATTTCCTAAGTAGAACACCTGGTTTCCTTCCCTTACAGAGAAGGGAAATTATGCCAAGGGTTGGGGGTGGCTTCCTTTGCCCCTCCCCATCTTGTATATTAAAGGAGTAGAAGGCATTGGAGTCACCTACATGCACCCCCAGAGGGAGCTGTTCCTAAACCTCACCATTGATTAAATTCTCTGCCAGTGTTGGGGATGGGAATCAGAAAAAACTAAGTGACAAGAAGCAATGGAGTCATCAATTTCCTTATTCATGTCCACACAGACCAAAACTGCTCAGAGGATTATGGGAAGTTACAGCACCCACTCTAAAGAAGAACAGTCCTTGGACTTTAAAATAGTAAAAGCGTAATATGCTAATTAGACTGGATGTCCTTCTGGACGTCCTTCCGGATAAAGCCAGGGCTACGAGGGAAGCCAGTGCCGGCAGCCGGGGGAAGGAAAACCTACTCTGGCATGAATTTTGTGCATCGGGCCTCTAGTCTAATATAATGAGAAGACAAAGCAAGAGGCTCACTGCCACCACTTTATTAAAAATCCAATCACTGATTTAACGTCCTGGTTCTTTTCTTGCGCAGGTAAAAGACGAGGCCTGGAGCGGCTACCACACCTGCGAAGACAACTACAACCGCCATGGTTTTGAAAGCAACATATCCAGCAGCTCCGTGCCCTGCAGCATCTACTGTGTCTGGAAGAGAAGCAGACATCCGAGTCTTAAGCTCATGTTTAAATCATAAGCGTAAATTGAAGCTGAAGCTTTACATAGGGGGGCTCCCCAGAGAAGGAGTGAAATGAACCCTCAAAGTACTCCTCTGGGAAGCTGGCAACAGGGTACAGCTTTAACCCTTGCACCAGCGCCTCCTCTCCACACTCAGTGTAGCTTCCACTTGCTTTTCCTGACCTACACTCAGACGGCTGAAAAGGACCTTAGAGTGCCAGCCTGTTGTCTAACACAACCTCCTGGACCAACAGCTCTCCCAGGGTATTAGGGCTTGAAGGCGGCTTAATTTCAAATTCAAGGCCTAAAATTAAGGCCATGTGGGATGAGGCTATAAGATATTAATAAGTTGGGTTTGGCAGTATCGAGGTACATGCCTTCTGACCCATTAATCCTATTTCTAGAAATATATCCTGGAGTTCTTATATAGCAGGCAAAGAATTAAGAGGCTTGTGGTGGGGCATGAGTGACAAAACTGGAGGTAACCTAGATGGAAATCTAGTTAGCTATTAACAGTGAGGTAGGTCTCTGTACAGATATAAGACACAGTTTTTAAAAGCAGCTATAGAAGTGTAGGGAGACTATATGACCCCTGTGTTAAAGGGGACTTGGGAAAGCAGAAGCTATCCCTGGGAAGAGACTGTCGCTCTCCTCTTGTTCAGAGGTGAGCACGCATTATGTTCGCATAATGAAATGTCATGCACGGCCTCGCACTAGCAGCCAGGAAGGGCCCTCGGCTCCAGGTCCATACCTCTGCCCGAGGAGTCATCTGACAACAGGAGGATGGGTCCCGGCAGACTTATTGTTTTCTCTTCTTCAGTGGCCCCTGTGGCTGGAGACAGGTAATAGGGTTTGAACTCTGAACTAGTGCGCACCAGTGCCAAGCGGTGTGTCCACAGGTCTCCCAGAGCAGCCCTCTGTGGCGCCCCTGCTCTGCTGGGCAGTGTGCAGCCTTGGCAAGATAGGGCATGCACCTTCCTAAGGACAGAGTGGCTCCTGAAGAATTTTACATCTGAATCCACCGATACTCAAGAAGAATAGCCTTCTAGAGCAGCCGTGGGCAAACTACAGCACGTACCCTTTTATGTAATGATGTTTACTTTGAATTTATATTAGTTCACACAAACACTCCATCCATGCTTTTGTTCCGGCCCTCCGGTCCAGTTTAAGAACCCATTGTGGCCCTCGAGTCAAAAAGTTTGCCCACCCCTGGTCTAGAGTCATGTCTGTAAAAGATCAGACTTGTCCACAGGGCTGCTCAAGAGCGTGCCCATGTCAGACTCAAATGGCAAGGCTCACTGGGCCATGGCTGCCTGGACTCTGAGTAGGTAAAGAATGAGGCCTCATCCTTAAATTTTGAAATAAGGCTTGTTTTGAGTAAATTCACAGTAACGAGGACTTGAAATTTTACCTCGCCTGCTTCTCAGTGGCGCAGGGCAAGTCCCAGAACACAGAGCGGAGTGGGGAGAGCGCTGATCGCAGAGGAAGGCGCTGCAGTGGAAGTGGACCTGGGACGGCAGGAGGGCGAGGTGAGTCCAGGCACCCACAGCCCCGCCCGTGGCTGTTAATTACTCACCAGGCTGGCGAGCACTTGGGCCGCTGACACAAAGGCAAAGGTCTTCACGTCGAACCTCCGGTAGTGGGCAGGGTAGGGCACAGAGGAGCCAACGGGATGGAAGGTGGTTCTGTGCTTGTCCAGGTTGTATGCACAGCTAGGAGGCATGTGCCAGGGAGGATGTCAGCCATTCACCCGGGCAACTCAGCTTTCGCCCAGATTAAGTCACACGCGCACCGTTGGGACCACTGCTGCACGTGGCATTGCACCTGGTTCTGATTCGGCCTCTCAGCAGTACCCACGCAATCCTAATGAGCATGTGCTGGTTTTCCTGCTATCAAGACTGTATCGATACAATTTAAGTACCTATCTGTTTGCCAGCTAAACACAAGAGCTACAAGATTGATATGTGTGTCTTCAGACAACACTGGCTGGATTCTCCTATTTATGTCCCAGGCAGTTAGTATATGTCAGTGACAAAAAAGGTAGAGAAGTCTTTAGTTGCTAGCAGAGAGTGAGAGCTATAAAAAAAGTAGTGTGTGTGCCGGGGGGGTGGGGGGAGGCTCAGTTGGTTGGAACACTGTCCCCTACACCAAAAGGCTGTGGGCTGGATTCCCGGTCAGGTCACATACCTGGGCTGTGGGTTCAATCCCCACTCGGATTGTGTACCAGAGGCAGCCTACTGATGTTTCTCTCTCACATTAATGTTTCTCTCTGTCCCCCTCCCTCTCTCTCTCTCTAAAATCAATAAAAACATATTCTCAAGTGAGGTTTAAAAACACCACCACAGTGTGCTAGGTGGTAAGTGCTAAGGAAAGAGGAGTCTGTAGGGTCGGGGAGCAGGGGCTCAGCCCGACTCCCTGGAAAAGGAACCCTGAACAGGCTTATGGGTGGAGGAGCACTGCACGCAGCGCAGTTCCCGTGGCCACAGGGCTGTCCCCAGAGGCGAGGAGCCTAGCGACAGAGGGCACAGCTGGAGAAAAAGGAGGTGCAGACCCACAGGCAGAGCCCGCGCCAGGGCAGCTCAGGCCTAGAGGCAGATAGCACCCAGTCGCACCATCTAGCCTCTAGCCGAGTAGACTCTGGAAGCAGAGCCGCTGCCTGTGAAGTCCCTCGTGGAGTGACGAAGGCCAACAGTGCGCAGGACAGGCCCGCCCGGCGCTCTGGGGTAGGGACCGGAGGGCGGCCTTCTCCACAGGTGAGGAGCCCGGCCCGGGGGGACGGGCAGTGTGGCTACTGAGCCCAGGACTGACCCTGAGAAGCCAGGACGGAAGTCGGGGCTTTGCATGTGGGCCCCGGGCTCGCCGGGCTCCGTGGGAGGGACCTACCCGTCCTTGACCACCGTCCAGCGGGGCAGAGCGGAGGGGTCGGCGGCGGGCGTGGCCCAGCAGTCGCCCAGGACCAGCTTGATGTGGGGGTCGGTCCTGTTGACGACGCTCACTTCCAGGTAGATGGGCTGGCGCAGGTGCCGTGGCACCGGGTAGTCCCCGTCCGCAAACGGGCGCAGGTAGGACTGGTCTGGAAGCGCAGCAGCCTCTCAGGCGTCCAGCGGGGCAGAGCGGAGGGGTCGGCGGCGGGCGTGGCCCAGCAGTCGCCCAGGACCAGCTTGATGTGGGGGTCGGTCCTGTTGACGACGCTCACTTCCAGGTAGATGGGCTGGCGCAGGTGCCGTGGCACCGGGTAGTCCCCGTCCGCAAACGGGCGCAGGTAGGACTGGTCTGGAAGCGCAGCAGCCTCTCAGGCGCAGAGGCCCTGGACGCTGGTGTTGGCCAGCACGGCCCCCGCGTGGTAGTGGCACCTCACTGTCACTCTGAGGGTGTGGAGGGCGCGGGGAGTGTTAGGTTAACAGAGCTGCTCAGAGTTACGCTGGAGCCGAAACAATCATGTGGCAGTTGTCGCACCTGAACTCCCCGTCTCTGGACACGGTGCGTGGAGGAAGCCCGGCCGGGAGAGCACGGATCTCATTCTCATAGATGACCTCGCCGTCCTGGACCTTAGGGTGAGAGAAGGTTGGAGATTGCGCACCAGCTCGCTCAGCTCAGCCTCTGCCTGCGCTGCCCGCTCACTGACCCGGTGCGTCGTCCCACATCCATTCAGGGGGATGCGAAACCGCGCCAGTCCCCGGGACGTCCCTGCGAAGTGAGGCCGGCAGGAGGAGTCCCCCACTCTGAGGGTGGCCAGGCTGAGAGCTGGGCTCATGTGGTGGCTGTGGACTTGGACATCCATGAACCCATCCTGGGTGCACAGCTCGCCTGTAATGAGAGTGGCCGTGAGATGCTGGGAGCCTGTAAGTGGTCTGTCTGCCAGGCAATGCCGCCCTCCCTGCACCTGGAGTGTGAGGGAGGAGTCCCTGGGTTTCACCAGGCGGCACCCCATGTGTCTTAAGTCTTTGGGGAAAATACTTAGGGAGACAGATAGCAGAAATCCAATTAGTGCCATTCGCCAACCACACCCAAGGGCAGATGAAGTTAAGAGAAAAAGTCTCATTTTGGTACCTCAACAAAGCTGTTAAATGTGTTATTGAGATCCTCCTCTAAATGCCCCACCTCCAAAAGCCCTCAGAAGGACGGTCTGGGGCCTGCCCTCTCCCTCCCAGGAGCACACGCCCTGCCTTTCCCTCCTCCCCTCTCCCTCTTCCCGCACAAGCTGCATCTCCCAAACGCTAGAGGACCCCAGGAGACTTGCAACCAGGGCAGCTGCACTTCATCTGGGCACGCCCCCCCACAAGGCCCCCTTCTCTCTGACCTCTTAGTGAGCCAGAGCAGCCCAGCCCAGTCTCACATCCCCACCATGTCCCTCTCCTTCGACCTTAGGCCCTCCCTTGTTTTACTGGCCCAGCTTTAGTAAATGTCCTCTAAGATTCAAAATAAAAATACCTTGATAAGTGGCTTGAGTTACAAGGGGAGACCCTAAGGTCCTGCTGCTTTGTCTGAACAGAGAGAGTTTACCCAAAGGAAGAGGGAGCAGGAGACACAGAAGGAAGTGCCATGTGGGGCGAGACATCTACAGAAAACCCCGAGGAGGGCTGACGTGACTTAAGAGTCCAATTATTTGTGACTTCAAGTGCAGTGCCTGGTGTCCTATGTCCCTCTGTCAGGACTCACACACCCAGGGTGGCTGGGGAGGCATGCATCGCCCCCTCTGGCTTGGCCTGACTAGGCCAGGGGTGGAGGGTGGGGGTGGGGAGTGGGTAACAGCAGCCCAGGGCCCAGGCGATGCTGCACGGGAGGAAAGCCAGCCCGGACTCTTTTTGAGAAACTGGCAGGAGTTCGGGGAAAGTCTTTAAACTTTTCTAATCTCTTTAGTTACAGGTTGGGCCACAGGCTCAGGCTCCTGACGTGAAGCATCCTCCTGGGCCTACCCGCGGGCACGTGTGGAAATGCTCCCTCTCGCAGCCCCACCCTAGCAGCTGGTCTGGCACCTCTGGTCTGACAGCCTTTCATTTCCTGGACGAGTAAGCAGTGCAGAGTGTAAACCACGCCCCTTCTTCCCACAGGCACAGGAAGGGCTAAGGGGGAACAGAGGACACTGAGACCATTGCTCAAAGCTTTACCTGTTAGAACTGGGGACTCACAGAGACACTCGGGGTAAACCACCATGGATGCTATCTCCCGTCGGAAGGAAAATGTCAGCTTGAGTGAAGGTAAGTAGAACTGATAGGGCAGGCACCGTTCTGAGAACTGAAACAGGAGAAGAATGTCAGTCAGCATCAGAGACCACCGTGTGGGCCCGGAGACCATCCCATGGGCCCGGAGCAATGTGTGTGTGGGCGGGGGGGGGGGAGGCAGGAATCCCTGCAGCATGCACCCCAGACTTAATTTGGTTTCCCTTTAAGCCAGGACGAGAGACCCTGTCACTTCTGTGTCAGGATGCTTCCCTCCACAGGACGTTCATTGCTTTAAACTCATGCCCTCAAGTGCCCAGCACTGTGTGCTCTTTGTACTAGACACTGACGCCGAGTTACTAGGTCAAATGCCAAAGGAGAACCCAGTGCCCTGCCAGCAGCCTGAGGAGAGGGCTCTGCCCGCGTGCCTGTGTCCCTGGCCGTGGATCAGTCAGGACGGCAGTTTGGGACCCTCTGTTTGGCTCAAGCCGTCCTGGGTTAAGAGGGCCTAAGACACTCATCATTAGAAACTGGGAAGCAGTTTGTACTATTCAATGTGCTGAGAAACACTGAGGAAAGCTTCTATTGTGGAGGTTCAAAAGGCCTGATGTTTGCAAGTGAACTTCAGTTACTGGGGAATTCACTTACGCAAAGCAACCAAATGAGGCCTCCCAGAGTTCGGACTGCCACATGGCCACTGTAATGTATGGGCAAGTCATCAGCCGTGGCAGGGTTACCTGTGAGACCATGTTTCAGGTCAGGTTCCCACACTCAGTGGTTGACAAGGCAACATACCTTCATTTTGAGAAGAGCTTTGCTGAAGTGCAGTCTCAGGCCACCTGCTGCCTCTGTACCAATGCCGTTCCGATGCAGCTGGCTCATGGCAATGTGTCTGTTTCCAAAGCTCACGGATTTTAACTTCCCGGGAAACTCTGGGATGGTGAGAGTCATGTGCGTGGCATTGCAGGTCACAGGACCTGGAGGGCATGACCGGCAGGTGTGGATGTCAGCTTTGATGAAGCCCCAGAACAATGTCCTCCACCCTGGAGTTGGCCCCCTGGACCTTACCTGATAGACAAGTCACTTGTGCTGATATAATGGTCTTTTGTCCAAAAATTACATGGATGAGCTTCAGAGGCATCGTGTAGAGATGACTGTTACCTTGCTGGGGGTCGGGGACAACGTTATCAGAGACCTGGCTTTAATTCAATTTCTAAACAACGCTAGAAGAATAGTCAAGGCAAGCATGTACTCAAGTACTGGGCACTATTTTGGCCTAAGTAGAATTCAGGCATTTTGTACAATGATTGTTCTGCCAGGTTCTCTAGTTTTAAATGTTTGTGCTTTTAATATCTGGCAAGCTAGGGTTGTCTACTGAGATGGCCTGTAGCTGATCATTTCTGGGTCTGAGCAAAAGCTGCTCTTATTTTATGACTATTTTATGGTATTATCATCCAGAGAGAATGCTTACAAAACTGAGCAATCTGATGGTACAGGACTGTTCCTGCTAAAATGTGGTATTTGAGCCCTTTGACACATTAGCTCATTTAACACTGAGTCTTTCCTGTTGGCTCGAAGAGCACAGGTCCCTAATGCAAGACAGTATAGGAGAACGATAACACTAATAGAACCTAACTCTTGGGAAACTTTAGTGGACTCCCGCTCTGTATTTGATAGCAGATTGAGAACTCTGGGGATGAGGGAGAACGGGTGGAAGTAAGGGCCATCTCTGTTCACCACTGTGTCTTTAGCACGCAGCACAGTGCGTGGCCCACAGTAAGACTGCGATGCCTGTTGAGTGAGTTGAGTTCTCAATTACTTTGAAGACATGGTTGAGGTCATGCTTGGATTTAAAAATAGTGGTCTGTGCCTGGGTGGGGCACAAAAAGACTCACACCCACCGTGTAGTGATTCACTCCGGTGGCATTGAATGGCACTTGCACGGTCATCTTGTAGTCGTCAATCAGGATGTTATATCCTCGCACCATGGCCTCCAGAAGGGTCAGAGTTTTGGCTCCTGCACCATGACCAACCTCAATGCTCCATCCCACCTGCTGCTGGAGATCCTAAAGTCAACAGTGTCACTTAGAGGGCTGTACTCCCCTTACCTCCAAGGCTATTGTCTAACATTTTCATCAGGATTGAAGTTTGTTACCTTTAATATAGAAAAAGGCTACTTAAGTCTGTATATTAAAATGATTTTCATACCGTATTTTCATCAGCCATGCCAGGAACACCATAAAAGGGAAACTGGAAGGGAAAAAAACACGTGATGTGAGGCTGTGACTTGGAGGAGAGTTTCTGAATCAGCTGCTGACAGTAGGCAGAAGGCCCCCGGAACAGCTGTGTGCTTCCCACACCGAAGCCTGGCTGTGGGACGGGGGGGACAAGCGCAGGACCAGACATAAACCGAACTGTGCCCTTAAACATCATCTCGCCTCTAAGCTCCTGGTACCAGACGGCAATGGGAAGATCTAAGCTCCCTTCCAGTTGTAAGTTCAGACACTCAGTTCTTCAATGCACAGCTGTACTAAGTCTGTAGGAATCCAGTATTCTGTCCAGCCATGCAGTTCCATTATTGTTATAATAAAGTACCGATATTTCTTTTATCTTTCTGTTGTCGAAATTAGCTACGTTAGACTATGAAATCCATGAGTGTGTGATAGGGCTGTTTTGCTCATTTACTGGATCCTATCACCTGGCACAGCGCCTGGCACCTGATAGGTATTCAGCTTGTCAAGAAAGTATAAATGTGCTTGTAGCTTCCTGTGGCCAGGCGTGGTGTGCTAAGCCCGTGTGTGTCCTCTCAGTGCATTTTTAGAGACACACTATAAGGCAGCGGTTCTCAACCTGTGGGTCACGACCCTTTGGGGGTTGAATGACCCTTTCACAGGGATCGCCTAAATACATCCTGCATATCAGGTATTTACATTATGATTCATAACAGTAGCAAAATTACAGTTATGAAGTAGCAAAGAAAATAATTTTATGGTTATTAAAGGGTCGCAGCATTAGGAAGGTTGAGAACCACTGCAAGGGAAGTGTTATTTTCTCCCACTTAGGGGCTTGGAAACAAAAAGTTGGTTTGTTTAAAATATCAACTCAAAGCCACAGAGCCAATAAGTAGTGAATACAGGATCGCAATTCTGACCCTGTTCCTAAGCCCGACTCTGTCTAGACATCACACTCCTCTGTGTGGGTTGTGGGAGAAGCTGTCGGCCTCTCTACTCACAGACATGAAATCCTTCGTGCACAGGGTGGATCCTGGGTGCTCCTGGGCTCCTCCGGCCGGCGCAGCTGGACAGCTGACCTGATACATGAAAGCCTTGCGTCCCGTAGCAGCACTGCTGTCCATGAACCTGATGGTCATCTGGTGCTGACCAAGCTGTGTGCAAATGGTTTCGTAAGAACAAGAGGTGCTGGGACCTCCGTGGGAAAAGATTCCAGATGCCGCCTGACCCGTGGAGTGGTCACCAGGACAGCAGGTTCTGGAAGGTCCCTCATTTGGACACCAGAAGACTACAGCCAGCCCGTGAGAAAGCCCAGCAGCATGCATACATTGGCAGAGGACAGTTCCTGGAACTTCAGGGATTGAAGTTCAGTTTTCATTTTCTTCTTATCCTTACCCTGTGTCATTCTACCGTAAGTCACAGACCTGACTGGTTTGGGGCCTCTACCAATTCATTCAAATACTCATTAAGCATCAGTGTAGCAGCCGGGGTGCGGGGAGAGCCATCTTTGAGTATTTCCCTGCCTTAAGGAACTTGGTTGAAAGTAGGAGTCAGACAACCTTTTTCTGTTAAATGTTAGTATATACTTTACACTTTGTAGGCCATATGTAACTTCTAATATGTATTTTTTAAAACTCTTTAAAAACATAAAAGCCATTCTTAGCTTGAGGACCATCTCTCTCTCTCTCTCTCTCTCTCTCTGCCATGGGCTGGACTTGGCACCCACAGGTGTGGTTTGCAGACCCCTGGTCTACAGGAATGCAGCTGTAAGCTTCCTAAGGTTGGGAGGTGAACATTTTAATTGCTGGCTCTTCATTCTGGGGTCAGATCAAGTGGCCTGTGAGATATGCAGGTTTCTAGGAGGCACCCCAGGTCTACATCATCAAGTGAAGGAGGGAAGCCGTTACTTTCCAGTCCCCAGGTGTTTCTCCTCGCACTCAAGCTTGAGAGCTGCTTAGAGGGGCTGCTTTACTGCCTCCAATAACCTTCACTGCACCGGCGCCTGACAACAGAGGCAGCCCTATTGCTCAGCTGCGGCTTGCTTTCCAACGCTTGTTTTGATGGTATAGAGCAGTGGTTCTCAACCTTGGCTGCACATGAGAATCCCCTGGGAATCTTTTTAAAATCCTGATTTCTGGGCCTCATCCTCTGGAAATTCTGTTTCTTTGTTACTAATGTTGTGGCCCCACCCCATAACAAAGAAACAGAATTTCCAGAGGGTGAGGCCCAGAAATCAGGATTTTAAAAAGATTCCCAGGTGATTCTAATGTGCAGCCAAGGTTGAAAACCACTGGCATAGAGGGTCTCTTTGCCAGCACCATAATGGCCTCCCATTTCCCATGAGGTCACAGATGAAAACACTAGTAGCTCCTGTTTGAGTATTTGCTGTAGCCAGGCGCTGCTCCAACTCCTGATCTGCTTTAGATCATTACTTTTTAGATACTGTGTGGAGAGAGTACCACAACCCCCATTTTCCAATGGGCAAGCAGAGGTTTGAAAAGGTTAGCTAACTTGCCCAAGGTCACAGCCAGACAGTGGCAGAGCCAGGACTCAAGCCAAGACCTCAACTCCGGGGTTCCTCAACCTCAGCGTTATTGGCACTCCAGGCCTGATAATTCTGTGTTATGGGGGCGGGGGGGCGGTCATCCTATTCAATATAGGCTGTTTAGCAGCACCCTTGGCCTGTATCTACAAGATGCCAGTGCCGGCTTCCTCCCCTCCAGTTTTGATAACCAAGAATGTCTGAAAAATGTCTCTAAACATTGTCAAATGTCCTCCATGTAGACAAAAGCAAAAAACAAACAAAAATGTCACCCCTGGTTGAGAAACACTGTTCTAGTCCAAAGCCTATACCCTTCGCAAGTAGGGGAGTATTAGTAACTACTAGGTTACTACTTCCCAAATCACTCCTCAAAGCAATTACTTACCACTCTGCTGGTACAGGTCTCATAGGGGGCTCGTAGGGTGCGCTCTTCTGGGTTGAGGACATACGTGCAATTCAGCATTTCAAGACCAAAGGGATCTACAGAAGCCAGAGAAATTTAGAGAGGGGTGGCCAAGAAGTACATTCAGTGACAGAAGCAACCAAAGCCTCAGAGCCAAGACTGCCAATCCATTCCTAAGACACTTTAATTACTTCATTTTTTATTGTCTGCGTGATGTGGCCTGAGCTTTGAGAGATGCTGTGACCCACAGCTAAATTTTCCCCGGAGATTCTGAGGTAAGAGAAAGACTCACTTGGAGACATCATACAAAGCAAGTGCCCCCATGGCATTATGGGAACTGGAGGCGTTGCTCCAGAGTTTATGAAAAATGGGGCTGGCCTCGAGCCCAGGTGTTCTGCTAAGTGAGACTAAGCTAGGAATTCACTCATTACCAACCCATCACAGATGCATGCCATTTCTCAGTGCCAAGATCGCTTGAAAACTTCACTGTCATTCTATCTTCATGGCAAGTGACAGTACCTGAAGAACAAAGAGAGAGTTGGGGCCTCTGAACTATAGGCGCGTGACTCCCACGGAAGTATACGGGGCCTCCCTCTCCCACAGGCATCAAGGGAGGCGCCAGCTGGGAGAGGCAGAGCTTGTCCGCCGCCCGCGGGGAGCACACCTAAGCGGGAAGGACATATGTCAGTATGATACCAGGCACTGTAAGTGCCAGGGCTTGCCGAGCTCTCAGGGATACACCTGGCTTAGGGTCACGCCTGTGCGGAAACCAGGCTGGGGCCCTGACAGTGACGCTGACGAGGTGGGGAGGAGGGACTGCACGTCTGTGAAGAACTGGAGAACAAAAGTTTTGTCTAAAAGATTTTTCAATTTGAAGCTTTAAAAAAGGCCCTGTGTAAACTCAAGGTCGCTTCCGAAGGTTAAATTCTGCCTATAATCTGCTACTCCGCATCCTCTAGCTCAGGTGAAAGTTTCGAAAAACGCTCATTTCAGGTGGAACAGCTCTGATTCTGCCGCCGCGTTGCTGTTTTCCTGAAGCATGAGTTGGTGTTTGAGGACGCTGCTCTCAGAGGGCCTAAGGTTGCGTTCTGTGTTCTTTGGATGCCATGAAGCGTGAGGCAGCGGGCAGATGTCTTTGCAAGCGCTTTCACTCTATAGGAAGCCATAGGTAGGCCACAGAAAATTCTAGTGACTTGCTCAGGGTAAGAAAAGGGGGATGGAAACTATCCCACCCATGTTTGTGCTTCCTGGCCATTTGGCCCCCGGCTGCACCCTGCTCAGGTTGGGAAGGGCATTGTC